TAGCCAGTATGGTCTTGATCTCCCGACCTCGTGATCTGCCCACCTTGGCCTCCCAAAGTGCTGGGATTACAGGCATGAGCCACCCCGTCTGGTCAACTTCCTTTTATCATTAACAAATATCCCTCTTTATCTCTAGCAGTAATTTTTGCATTAAAGTCTACTTTGTCTGATATTAATATAGTTATAGCTTTCTTTTAGTTAATTTTTGCATGGTATATCAATCGCTAACATTTTACTTTCAATCTTTCTCAGTTTACATAGTGTATCTTAAATGTTAAACTTAGTAAAGTATCTTAAAACCTACTATATTTAAACTTACTATAATTGGTTATCTGTACCCAATCTGGCAATCTTTTAATAGGAATGTTGAAACCACTTATACTTAATATAATTACTGCTATAGTTTCTTATAAGTCTACAATTTTAATTTGTTTTCCATTTATCACAGCTATTCCTTGTTCCTGTATTTCTTTTTACTTTCTTTTTAGTCAATCAAGTTGTTTTTTAAATTATTTTTTCCCTTATTAGCATTTCAATTGAACTTATTTTATTATTTTAATGATTATTCTAAAGATTAGAAAATACATGTTTGACTTATGTCAGTCCTTTTTAAATTAGTAATTGTAACCTTTCCTAAACAATGTTTCTAAACAGCTTACTACACAGTGGTGGGAAACAGTGAGTGTTTCTTTCATTACCTTGCTACACTTGAGTATAATTTGGCCTTAGCTTGAGGAGAGACTACTTTTTCAGGTCTTGAATGCAGCCCCGGGCCACTGTTTTCAAAACCCACCCCTTGTGAGTCAGGATTAATAAGCACTGGATCAGCCTCTGACAGAGCCAGTCACATTTAAAAGAGCCTAAACCTCTTGTCTGTATTAGAACCCAACTTTAAAATGTGTATCTTACTAGGATATAACCTTTTAACACAGATATTGTATAATTCCACCACTCCACATGCCTACCTTCACGAGGCATGACTTCTGCTGTCTGGTATTTACAGTTACATGTGAAAAGAGAGTTATGCTGGCAAGCGAGGGGGTGGAAGGTGAGGACTGGGGGATGGGTGGGAGGGGACATCACAATCCCTAATGAGGCTAATATCGGCCCTTTACAGCTTTATAATTACTTCCAATTCATGGTATCTTTTTAACTGTCTTTTTTTGAATGTAAGATGAAAAGGGTTAAAACTACAGGCTAAAACTAGTTTTATTAATATCTGAACTCTACCAGTCAATTTCATGTTTTAAGAAAATGCATGTCAGCTGATTGCAATGCTAGCTCATCAGGATGATAACCCATCCAGGGAATCCTGGTGAAACTACTTTATTGCCAGTTCCTTCAAATTCAGGAAGAGACATACGCTTCCTTGCGTGTAAGCATTAGTTCACATTCAGATTAAACTGCCTTCCAACCGGCTGCCCAAGGGATGATGCTGAGATGGCAAATTATCAGATACGTATCTTTTATTCAGATATCCTTAGAAGCACGTGTACATGTTAAAGGAAATCGCTTTTATTTGCTCCAAGCTACTGGAGGAAGAACTAGAATTAAAAAGAGTAAACCCAAAGGACTTTGGCGCCTTAAAGACATCCTATAACCTATATCCCAACTAAATATTTGTATTCAAATAAAAAAGCACTGTTAGGGTTCTTTCTTCATGAAGATTAATTTTCTATTTTAACTAGAAATATTTGATACATCAGAATTTTCAAGACACTTTTGGCTAACAAAAGTGCCAAGTGCTGGTATTAAATATATCCACAACGGCCTTCGAAGTTTACACGTTAACGCAGGTCATGATTTTAAGGTTTTTTTTCCCATTCAAACTGAAAGACTGATAAACAGCCCTTGAGTGGTCTCCAGATAGGCTGCTGAAGTTAAGGGATGTCCCGCATGGATTTAGTTAGTTAAAAACATGCTGAGTCTTACATAATTACTGTGTTGAAGCAATGGCAGTGGTAGAGCAATAGGTCAGATAACTACTGTGGTTTACTCAATGCAAGGCACAGCCTGAGATAATATAAAAATAATTATATGCACAAACCAGATTTTCCAAACTGCTTATTTAGTTTTCTAGGTCAGTATAGCTGGTCAAATCCCTCTGAAAGTTAAGTTTTCCAGCTGACCGTGAATGGTTAGTTCGCTTACATTATTTCTGTAAAAGGCTGCATGTATTTAGATGTTCAAAGGACTATAATATTTATTCTGACTCTCTGGAGGTTTTTTTCTCCTAATAAGTACTGTTAGTATGCTGGGGAGAAAAAGCAGATTAAAAGCTGTACTCCTGTAAAAGCTTAATACCGTCTTCATTACCGTGTAGTTAAAACTTCAGGTACATACAAATAAGTTCCGAACTGCCTAAGACAAAGTTCACTCAACCATGCAAACATAGCATTCTCATTTCATAAGTATAAATTTCCCCTTCATTCTGATTCATTTGAGGCTCAACACTCTGCACTAAAAAATTGCCACAGTATTATTTTACCTTTATAGAAGAAAAAAATGATAGTATCATTTTTTTTGGTGATAATATCATTTTGGTCCTTGTGATTTCCAAGCTAGATCAGAGGTTTCAGAAATTTAAAGCATCCGCTATCTTAAATCAACATAGATCTGAGCTAGCTCACTGAGAGGCTGACTGGGGCAGAGAGAAGAGCTCAGCCCCAATGTGACAGGAAGCAGGAAGAAGGGCAGAGGCCAAAACCTTAGCAGAATACTAAGCTAAAAAGCGACAAAGAAAGAAATGTAATTGGATAATGGATCTTATTTGAAGATTTGCACCAAGTGATAATAGACAGTTTTAGGAAATATGGCCAGTGGGTTTCAAAATGGGCACATTTGCCTATTAGGAAGACACAGACTTGATATAGTTTTTGGCAAGCTTCCAACCTTGTCAATTATCTCAATCCTAGTGCAGTTTGCAATCCTGGTGGGATTTCCACCTACCCGAGTGTCCTCTACCAATTTCCCCAACCCTAATTGTCTTTTCCTTCCTCTCAGATATACTGCAGAGTCTCCGTGTCTCTGGAAATTAATCACTATTTGAGAGATTAATTGGAATTTTTAGGCTATTAATTGTAATTTCCTCTTCCTCTGGCTTTTTTAATTTTGAGGAAAATCTACAAGGACTCTTTCAGCAATGAAAACGTACACTAAAAAAAAGAAGCTCCAGCCTCTCTCAACAATAGCTGCTTCTCTGACATTTCTACTATATGGCTTGTCAGTCAATACACCTGGAGAGTTACTTAGGCTTAGTTACAAACTTCACCTGGGGATTTTGAGAAATTGGCTTACATAATAAGATTAATTATATATAACTATTTAAACGTTAAGTGATATCATTTCCACTCTTAAAAAGAGCGCATTCATATTCAAAATCAGTCACTTAAGGAAAAGGAGTGCATAATTTAAAACCAAAAGAAAAGACAGTAGCTAAAACTTTGCCCCACAGGTTATGGTCTTTTGAACATTTTCTTTCCCTGAGAAACTGAATCTGCCTTATTAGACATACACTTGTGTGTGACATCCCACAAAGACATACACGCACACTCACACATACTCACACACTAGAGACCTAACTTTCCAGCAGAAGCAAATCCTTGCTCTGGAATGACATAGCAACAAGTACTTTTAATTCCTGTTGAACCAAAAGTAAATGTCTCCTCGCACGAAACATAAAATTGCAACTCAGAAGAAAACACCTTAGGAAACAGATGAGTGTGCTGATTTTAAAAATACTTTCCTGGTATTCAGACGTTACAACTACAGGCCTGGCTCCAGGCTAAGTAAGATGCCTAATGGGGACCTCCGGGAGGCCTCCCAAGACCGTGACTTTTACAGAAGTAGAAAGAATGAGAAGTTGGGAGTGCCTCAAGTAGCTAGAACCACATACTCCAGGAAAAAAATGGGCCAAATGCAGAGGACAGCCTCAGCCTTGTTTTCTGTCTAGGGGCTGTACCTGTGCCACTGTAAGAATCCCCAGGCAGAACTTCTGCTGGCATCTATGAGAAGGCACAAAAATCAAAAATCTCAGACTGAGTAACGACTTGAGGGAAGAGTATAAACTAAAATATTTAATTGTTAATGACTTCAAAATTTCTGCAGAGTTTCACAAAGTCCAGATTCACTCTCAAACTTTGTACTGTGAGCTCCTTTCCAGTGAAGTTCATGTCTCCATTTATTCAGTCATTCATCCAAAAAAAAAAAAGTTTCTAAGAAGCTCTGATGTGGCAGTCTTCTCTGCTAGTAGTGGTGACCCAAGGACCTTTCCCTTCCTGGAGTGACAGTCCACTGAGAAGAGACTGAATAAAGAGTTACAAGCAGGCTGCTACATAACTCTTTACATCCTCAAAGCCAAGCATGGTGGCTGGCACCCACTCTGCACCCACGCTTTATGAAAGAGAAATGAGAAAGAAACAAGGAGAAAAATAAGGTTCAGGTTATTGCCATCTCCCTGCCAAGTTTCATAGATAAAATATTTGGGTAATTAACTAAGTAAGGGACATACAATGGTGGGTTCCTATATAACATACATTCAACTGTAAAAATATTTCCCACCTCCACCTGAAATCATGACTATTAATCAACTTCAGAAATGACAAAATTTTCAGTGATGTAGCCTAGATCAGTTAGTTTCTGGCCAATAAACTGTTGGTGGAGATTAGGAAAGAGACCACAGGACGATGAGCATCACGACATTGACTAAGGATCATAAATTCATGGAACAGAACCAATTCTGTAAGAGCTGAGATTAACTTGAAGGTGCCTATCAAAGAGTTGACGCTCATCCACAAAGGCTTTCCATCTTGGTAGAGATAAGGCTTCCTAGAAAAGCCAGATTTTAATGAGGTTGCAACATATGAATAAAAGGGAATGACGGGCCAGAGGACTAGGGCGAGGGTACTCCAGCATCTGCATAGCAAAATAAGTAAAACATTAACGAAAATGTGACGGCTGCTGCCGGATGCCAGGAACCATGCTAAGTCACTGTGGTGGTACACGACTAAGATCTAGGGCCTGACTCCCGGTGTTTGCTGATGATTACTCAAAAGCCACAGAAAAAGAGGCCATATTTGAGCATAAATAGAAGTCTTAAAAGGGAAATAGGATCAAATTGACTCACATTTCTTTACCAGGGGGCGTTAGCAGCATCCAAAAACACCATCCTTGGAATCAGGAGGGAGAAAGCATGACCACAGCTTCATTCCATTAAGGTCACTTGTGTTTCCCTTCTGAGGCTAATGAATAAAGATACTGCTGATCAAACTTAAAAGGGCAATTATTGCTTGTGTGAATGTATGCACAAAGATTATGGTAATGCAGTATTCCTTTAAAAACAAAAAAAAAGTAAAAAAGAGTCCCTCTCTTTTAGAGCTACTATGTGAAATATTTACAGATGAAATGATGCCAAGCCTGGGATTTGCTTCAAAATAATCCTGGGTATGCAGTGGAGTGAAGGTAAAACCATCCCATGATGCAATCATTGTTGAAGCTGGATGGTAAGAGGTTCATTATACTTTTCTCTTTACTTTAAATATATTTGAAATGTTCTTTATAAAAAGTTATTAAAATCTACATTTGTAATAAAAGCCAGCTGGATTTGTAGGGAAAGATGAAACTTTTTAAATGATCATGCAATAAAATAGAGCTACTCGGTGTAGCAAGTTAAAAAAATCAACAAAGGCTCCTTGAACATTGCTAAATAATACTATGGGGCCTATAGAGTGTTCTGTACACCACAACCATGCCTGGAGCAGGCTCACTGAATCTAGTACATTATTGGAGTTCTAGGCCCATTTCTAATTTGTTTTCCAAAGTGCCAGTCACCACTCTATAGTAGATCCTGAAGTCAACTTGTGGGCCCTGAGAAGTTTTAGATAAATGACTAGAAATACAGTAGAAAAGACAGGATCAGGGCATATCACACATACTGGATGAACTCTCTTTGTGGAACGTGTCCGTGTGCGTGCGCACCATGAGCATTTCTGTTTAGTCTACTCCCAACATAATAGCCAAAGTGGGTCTGTTAAAATCTAAGTCAGATCAGCCAGGTGCAGTGGCTCATACCTGTAATTCCAGCACTTTGGGAGGCCGAGGCAGGTGGATCACCTGAGGTCAGGAGTTCAAGACCAGATTGGCTAACATGGTGAAACCCTGTCTCTACTAAAAATAAAAATTAAAAAAAGCTGGGCATGGTGGCAGGCACCTATAATCCCAGCTACTCAAGAGGCTGAGGAGGGAGGATCACTTGAACCTGGGAGGCAGAGGTTGCAGTGAGCCCAGATCACACCACTGCACTCCAGCCTGGGTGACAAGAGCAAGACTCCGTCTCAAAATAAATAAATAAATAAATAAATAAATAAACCTAAGTCAGATCATGCGACTGCCTTCTGGAACCCTCCAGGGACAACCTATCTTACTCAGTGTAAAAGCTGAAGCCCTTACAGTGGCCTACAAGGCCTTCCATGATCTGCCTCCTCCTCCCTGTCATCCTGTTTACCCGCTTCTCACTCCACTGGCCTGGTTTCTGTTCCTGGAACATACCAGGCACACTTCCACATTGGGACTCTGCAACTGCTGTTCCTTCTGTCTGGAATGCTCTTTCTCCATATGTCTGCATGACTGGCTCCCTCTCCATTAAGTGCCACCTTCTCAGTAAAGCCTCCTCTGACCACTCAACTTAGAATACAGACCCCCTTACGCCCAGCATTTCCTGTCTCTCTTCCTGCTTTATTTTTCTCTGTAGAACTTATCACCCTCTAATACACCATATAAATAGATATAATTATATATAAAAGATACACATTTATATATACAAATTATATATAGTTCCTTTGGTTTACTATCTGTCTGTATTTAGAAATTCCACGAAGTCCAGAATTTTTGTCTGTTTCGTTCATTGCAGTATCTCTAAAATCTAGAACATGGTAAATCAGTACATATTGAATGAATTATGAATGTGTGCATGGTGTGTGTGGGTTGCGTGTGTGTGCTGGGTTTCACAGTGTAGGTCACGTTTCAAAAGGCTTGTATGATACTGCCCTGGAGCATACTTGGACTACCTCTGGGCTTACTAAGAGTAAAGACTGAAAAGCAAGTATAGTACCCAACAACAGACACCCAACAGTCCTCATGTCTTACAGACTCGGTGCCTGGAATAAATGATGCGACTGGTAATTGCTATTTGAAATATGTGTGTATGAGGGTGTAACTGATTTACATACAAGAGCGTGTTTCCTTGGGGGACCACCAAGGCACCATAAATTGGCAAGAGGAAATAGGCAGAATCAGAAAAATCATAAAATTTTTAAGACTCTGAGAGATGATCTGGGCAAAACTAATAATTCCACGGATGAGCATCAAAGTCACAAAATGATAATGTAATTTGCCCCTGGACACACAAAAAGTAAATGCTGAGACAGAATGAGTGTAGATTTAGGTCACATGACTCCTCATCCACTGATCTTTACACACCCTGGCCCATCATAACAATGCAAAACAGGAATCTACTCCAAAAGCCTCTGCCTGTTCCCTCTTCCTTGGGAATAACCTGAAATTATTTCTCCAATTAGGCACCAATACATTTATTCCACTGGACTTGACAATTTGCAGGAATCTGTTTTAAAAACAGAGCTGCTAATGATCAGTATTTCTCATAAATCAAAGCCTTAAAAATTCCCTCCTATAGCAACTGGCGGTGGGTTGACTCATCTGCTATGATTCTCCGCCTTTCTAATAATATAGTTCCAACTTACATCAGGCCCAGGGATGTTAAAGCCTGTCAAGAATCTAAACCTTCAACCCTCACTGTCCTACTTCTCATTAGAGCTAAAGACCCTAACCAGTTTTGAATTAATGGATTTATATATTTTCATAACCACAAAACAAAGTGCTTCAAACCATAGAGCAGTAACAAGTGAAAACAACACATGAGTTGTCAGTCATGTTAACGTAGTGGGGTAGCAGAACATTTTTCAGGGAGTGATATTTTTACAAAATGAATAGTTACACTAATTGCTTGTTTCTCAAGTAAGACTATAATAAGCTTTTTGACCATGAGAGGCCATGTATTTTGGAATTCTCAGTGTTTTGTTGGCGACCTTAGAGGTTCTAAGGGCTGAGGACATTCATGACATAATTATGGCAGATGCTCTTGGTTCCCTCTTCCCCCTTAACAGAACCCTGTTCTGTTCAGGCCTCTTCACTCCTTCAGGAGAGGCTGGTCCATCTGTGCTCCAGGAAGGGGGTCACAATTGGACTAAGTGCATCAGGGTAATCCTATTCCCTTGCCCGTGATTGGTTCACATGTAAGCATGTGACAAAACTGTGGCCAATGAGGCAAAGGGAGCCTTGCTGGTGGGTGGGAGGGGGGCAGGTGTGTCTGAGAAAGTCTTCTCTTCCACAGGGCCAGGAGGAAGAGATTTCCCCGTCTCTGTTTCTAGATACTATGCCAGGGGACTGCTGTTGTCATCTTGACACTGTAAAGACAATCAGTCTGAGGGAAAGATCCCCCAACCAAGAGGGCAGAGCTGAGAGAAGCAGACAGAGCTAGATACTGCAGTGTCTACAACCACGGTACCTCAGCACTTCTTCGAGTTTTCTGTATTAGCGGCTGAAACGTCCTAACCCTTACAATAATTGCATCCTGGAAGGGTCTGGTCAGGATGTGAGAAGGTGTGAATGTGTGATACATGTTGGCGTTAGCAAGAGAAACGTTTGCGTGAACAGCAGGTCCCAGGAACAGTGAGTCTTTTGTTAGAGATGGCTTAGCCTGTGACATTAGAAAGCAGGAGGAACAAAGTCTAAAATGTGAGATGTCAGGGGGGCTGCAGAGGCCAGCGCAAGGCACAATACCACCCCCACATGTGCTGCTGTCCTAGGTGGCCCAGGGCAGCCAGATTTCACCTGAGGGAGGACCCAGAACAACAGAGCCACTGTGGCCCGTGCCCACTTCCTCTAGGGGTTGCCAGGAAAACACTCTGAATGAGACCTTAAGGAAGAAGTTCCAGTACTTGCTTTGTCTTCACACTCCCATGAATGGGCATTTATTTGTATTTGGTGGGGGTGGCTGTGTCAGTTCCCTACGGAAAAAAGGAGCAAAGGCCATGACCAACTTGAAGGGGAGCCAGCCATCCTATAAATTCACGCAGGCCATTGGATACTGAAGCCTGCCCAAGAAAATAGCTACCCAGGGACTCAGTTCCCCAAAGATATCAGTCTTTACCTCCATCAGCTCCAGGCTAGGGCCAATCTTCCTCCAATTAACAACGTATATCTACCTAGAGGAGTCTCCGTACTTTGGAGGAAGAAGAGGACTTTTGCAACAAGCTGGCACTCAAAACCAGCAAGTGTTAAAAAATGCTCATGAGCTAGGTCCATTATAGTGAACAATATATGGTTCTGGAAATTTTCCTATTTATAATCACTCATTTTCTATGTGATCTGATCAAACACATTTTTTTCTTTACTTGTTTGAGGTAAAAGTAAATACTATCAGAACCTCTGTGACAGCTACAAGCATGTAATACGTTAGTCTTTCCAGCAAAGTCTTTCTAGTACAATACGGTGATCTGTCGTGATCAAAGGGTGTCGGCTCTTTCTTTAGAAACAACAAAAGAGCCAGCAGATGATATCCTTGGAAACGTCTGTACGAGCATCCATCTAGTGGGGGCATATGGAGGCAGCCACAGATGCATCAATGCACGAATAATATTCGGGAGCATCAGGCACACAGTAGGGAAACTTGGTTCCTGGATGATTCACACTGTACTTTGAGGTCATAGAGTTGTGCCCAGGGTTTAAAAAGCTGGATAAAAATCTAATTAACTAGTCATGAGAAATGCACCAATTGCTTTGCCCAGCAATAGCAGAGAGGACCTGCTGCTCTCCCTCATTCTTCAGTGAAAAGGAGGGTGCCATGGCCTTTCAGGGATAGGAGCGAAGGGAAGCATTTCTCTAGTGGAGGCTGAGCTAACCAGCCCCAGAGAGGAATTCTCTATGGAACTATATGAGAAGGTCAGGGGCTGGTTGCAGAAAAAGATGAATGTGGAAATGAAAATGGAAAGAGAAGGGGCATCCCATGTGTTCACCACATTTCAGTGGGTATGGATTGAAATGTCTCCCATCTGATTACAAGCATCCTGTCCAGGAAGGACTTGACCTACGGGTTTTCTTCTGGCTGCTCACCTTATGACTATTTCACCTTCTCTTTCATACATCAATTTCTTTGCCTCCTTAAAATAATGGCTTTATTGAGATGTAAACCACACACCCTACAATTGACCTGTTTAAAAGCAAACAATTCAATGACTTTTAGTTCATTCACAGATAGTGGTGTAACTATTAACTATTACCACAACCAAATTTAGAACAATTTCATTACGGCAAAAAGAAAACTCATATCTATTAGCAGTCACTCCCTATTCTACTCCAAATCTCTCAGCTGCAGGGGACAGCTCATCTACTTTTTGTCTCTAGGATTTCCCTATCTTGAGTGTTTCATATGCGTGGAATCATACAGTATGCAGTCTCTCACTTCTTCACTTAACATACTGTTTTCCAGGTTCATCCCTGCTGTAGCATGTACACAGGATCACTTTTTAAAACTTTCCCTGGCCGGGCGCGGTGGCTCATGCCTGTAATCCCAGCACTTTGGGAGGCCGAGGTGGGCAGATCACAAGGTCAAGAGATCAAAACCCTCCTGGCCAACATGGTGAAACCCCTTCTCTACTAAAAAATACAAAAATTAGCTGGGTGTGGTGGCGCGCACCTGTAGTCCCAGCTACTCAGGAGGCTGAGGCAGGAGAATTGCTTGAACCCGGGAGGCGGAGTTGCAGTGAGCCAAGATCACACCATTGCACTCCAGCCTGGTACCTGGTGACTGGGCAAGACTTTGTCTCAAAACAAACAAACAAATAAACAAACAAAAAACAACCTTTCCCTGTAGCTCTCCATGTTGAACTCTAGCTTTATCACTTGTTTCTTCAGTATTCACTACTCACTCCTACAATGTGCTCGTGAACCACAAATCAAGGTAAAAAGTCCTCATTCAGACACATTCATGTGCTTCTGCTCAGGGTCTCCTGTTGCAAGTAAGTTAAAAATAAAATTAGTGAGTTAAAAATAAAATTTCTAGGCTGGGTGCAGTGGCTCACACCTGTAATCCCAGCACTTTAGGAGGCCAAGGTGAGTGGATCATGAGGTCAGGAGTTCGAGACTAACCTGGACAAAATGGTGAAACCTCATCTCCACTAAAACATAAACACTGACTGGGTGTGGTGGCATACACCTATGATCACAGCTACTTGGGAGGCTGAGGCAGGAGAATCCCTTGAACCCAGGAGGCGGACATTGCAGTGAGCCGAGATCATGCCACTGCACTCCAGCCTGGGGGGCAGAGCGAGACTCTGCATCTGGGGGAGAAAAAAAATTCTAAAAGCTATTGAAGGCATGTGGCTAAGGTAAACTGGTGACAGGGTCCTTGCAGAACTGATTTACATACAAAAGATAAAGAAGGGGCTACATTTGCACTCCTATGACCGTTACTGAGTGCCTGGACATGCCAGGCACTGCTAGGCACCAAAAATCCAGCAGTAAACCAAACAAAAATAGCTGCCCCTGTGAAGCAGGTATTTTAGTGATCCATGATAAAATTTCAAAAAGAAAAGCAAGGGAATAAGCTGAAAAGTCAGAGCAGTGGTTACCTTTGGAAAGAGGGAATGAAATAAGATGGGGAAGGAAAGAGAGAAGAATACAGAGGAAGATGCAAGGCTAGGCAATGTTCCTAAACTGGGTGGTGGCTTTCCTAGTAATTATGTGGCTATGCTTCATAACTTGATGCCCATTACTGATATTCTTTTGTATATATTGCATCTTACCTAAAATGTGTATAAGTTTTTTTTACCTAAAAAAGAACCATTCCTCTGGATGGGAACGTGTAACAGTGATATTCCTTGGATTGACTGAGCTAATTTAAAATGTTGGGACTGCAGGACACACATTGGACAGAGTAGAGAAATCCTGCATTGGCACGATTACACGGCAAGGATTTGAAAGGCTTATGAAGAAGGGCAAAGTAAGGTATTTAGGAGAAACTTTTCCAGTTATCTTAGAAGATCATGATCTCTGAGTGAGCACTTATCACTCAGGAAAGGAAACTGTGGTGTATGTTATTAGAACATGAGCTTCATGAGATCAGGAATTTTTATGTTTGGTTCACAGATTTTCAAGTTTTCTTCACAGACATTCACACATTTGATTCTAACATCGAGTATTATTAGCCCATTTTACACATTAAAAGATAGAAACTCTGAGACTAGTTGGTGCTGGTGTTTGGACCAGATCCTCAACTTCCCAATGCTTGTAACACAATGCCACCCTTGGAGTCTGTGGTTCAAGTGAACCCACATTAATTCACGAAACCCAAACACAGATGCTAAAAACAAGTTTCAGAGAGTTAAATTTAAAGCAAAAGGAAGAAACAGCATCTGCTCTATAGGTAGTAAACCACTGAAACTCATTACTATAAGAAGGAGCACAAGCTAAAACTACAGATGGATTCAGATACATTTACATTAACTCCTGAATGACAGCTTTACACTCAGCTATTTATGAAAAGTCAGATGTCTGCAGGGCATCTCCTCCCTGAAAGGCTGTGGTGCATTTTTACAAAATACCCTTCATGCTATTACTTTAGAATACAGAACCAAATAAGTACAGTGGCAATTACTATGTTCTTAAGCCAAATGACATCGTCTAACTCAAAATCATGTCATACATGTGTCATTGCCTAAGATTTGCGGTAATTCTATTCCTAATCTTAATCTCATATTAATTATTTCAGGAGCGTTTACAAAGCTTCTGTCAATTGCTTTTTCCTCTGAAGAATTCATATTCTGAAAAAAGGCATGTGGATTTGTTTGGTGGCTTCAAGCAAGCATAGGACCTGGGCTCTCCTGAGACCAAAGTTCAACGCTAGGGTGTACTGACATCACATGGAACAAAAACTTCTGAGCCCTGGTCATTGGGTGTATCTTCAACCCTAGGCACTGATCATGAGGGAGATCCAGAGAGGATAGTTGGCTAGAGCTAACCAGGCACCCTACCAGAAATTAACAACTCCAAGGATATATACTGAAAGAGAATAGTGCTCTCTGTGCATATGAAAGTCAGCAAAATGTATTATTTACCACACAAGCACAAGCATTTCGTAATTTAGTAATTAGTATGATTTACTGGATCTCACTGTCTCTGAGGACAAGCACTATAAAACAAAATGGCTAATTTTTTTTTTCATAAAGAGAATTGGAATGAACAAGTTAAATCAATATTAGGCAGCCAAATTATGTGTATTAATATCTACATATCATTAGCATAATCCCAAGTGAATTATTTTGTTGCTAAAAGTAATGCTAGGCCTGATTTACCATTTCCCTTGATATTAACTTATATGTGATATAAATGTGGTAAGAAATAACTTGTGTTTGGAACCCAATCCACTTCCACTTTCTGTGTATACATAAACACAAACACACATACATACACATGTGTGTGCATGTGTGTAAACACACATACTTATCTGTAGCAGGGCATCGTGGTACAAAGGCTATCAGACAAGAGTTTTCTACACACATAGAAAAATGTGTGCTTTGTTTCCTCAGCTTCTCTTTCCAGCTTCATGGCGTTGCAGGCTTTCTTTGGAAAGAGGGGTGTACATAAACCTAACGAAAATATGTGAAGCCTAGAATACACTGAAGCCAAAACAAAACAAAACAAAAAATCTGTCTAAACAAGAATCTGACAAATGTCCCAACCTGTTCCTCTTTATAGAACGTCAATGGAAAATCACTGTAAAGATTCACAAAAATTAAGGACATCTCCCAATGTCTGGGACTAAAACCAAACAGGGACCCGAGAATCAGGGCTGAGCTGCGTTGGTAAGTTTCTGCCTTGGTGAATGGAAGGTAAGCAGATGGGGCTACAGCCACCAAGCAGTGTAGCAGCAGGTTTTCTATGGCAGATTCTGCGATCAAGGCTAGAACATTCTCACTGGAGTCATCCAGACCAGAGCTGCCCAATACAAATATAACATATAACATAAGCCATGTATGTAATTTCAAATATTATAGTAGCTACCTTAAACACATTTTTAAAAAATAAAAAATAATTTTTAAAATATATTATATTTAGCTTAATAGAGCCTTTTTTTTTTTTTTTTTTTGAACAGAGTTTTGCTCTTATTGCCCAGGCTGGAGTGCAATGGCAGGATCTCAGCTCACTGCAACATCTGCCTCCTGGATTCAAGCAATTCTTGTGCCTCAGCCTCCCGAATAGCTGGGATTACAGGCATGCACCACCACACCTGGCTAAGTTTTGTATTTTTAGTAGAGACGGAGTTTCACCATGATAGTCAGGCTGATCTCGAACTCCTGACCTCAGGCGATCCACCCGCCTTGGCCTCCCAAAGTGCTGGGATTATAGGCGTGAGCCACCACACCCGGCCTAGATAAAAAAAATGCTATCACCTAAACACATATTCAATATTTAAAAAATTATAAATCAGATATTTTATATTTTTTGGCTTTGTACTAAGTGTTTGAATGCTAATGTGTATTTTACACTTGCAGCATATCTCAATTCAGACTAGCCATGTTTCAAGGGCTCAGAAAACCACGTGTGGTTATCACATGGACAGTACAGGTCTAGGTCTTGAGAATCAGGTCCTTAGAGGTCTAAGGCAGCTCCACCCACTGACAGATACTAGAGGAGGTCTACTGGGACAGCCACGCTCCCTACTTCCTGTTTCTTTGCCGTCCCAACATAGTCTCTTATGCTTATTCCTTGGAAGCAACATCATATAAGAAAGCCCATGTGGCATTCCATAAAGTAGTAAGGAAGTACTAGGTTTCACTTCCTTGAAAAAAACAATACCCAGCCCCTACTGAGTGGGCAAAGGGCAATGATAGGACCCAATAAAATCCAGGAACTGGACCTCTGATGTGAAAAAAACTGTGTAAGGTTATCACCCAAGTGCTTCTGTGATTCACAGTGCCCTAAATCTATGATCTGAGTTATGTCAATAAATAGTAAGCCACACATGTCAGTCTTTTGCCTTACCATAGTTTCTGAGTCCAATGGCCCCAACATTCACCTCTTTCTTGACAGTTACTTGACTCTTTAAAGACACCTTTCACCTTCCCATTTTCTTGCACTTGAGGACGGTAACAGAAGTTAAAGAAGAACTGCTTCCTTTTCTTAGAAACTGTCACGTTCCTGCATCTTATTTGCATGCATTTCTCCCCAATTAAATGTACTCAAAATTCCAAAAGATAACTTTATTTTCTAAAAACCAATGCATTTGCTTTCCCCTGATGTGGGCCTTTTCTAGAAGCAAAAATCCGTCTAGCTAGCTGCTGATGGCCAGGTTGGCAGAAAATCTCTTTTAAATAACATGGCTTCTATATACCACTAGCAACCTCAGTCCACACAGTCAGTTTTCTTTATGATGTTTTTAAAAGAGATACAATGATAAGATCCAACTTTTTTCTGGACACTTTTTTCCTCTTTGAGGGTGAAATTGGAACTCACTGTGGTTTATTTGAAAAAGAAATTGAGTTGCCATTAAGGAAACAACAAACCACTTTTTAAATAAAGCTTGAATCAAACCTCAGGACTAGAGGAGTGTACCCACATGTTTAATTACCTTCCCCAACATCAGCCTCCAGCTGTCATTCCACAGTTTTCCTCAAGGTTATCAAGAAATTACTTTTTTAAAAAGTCAACTTGCAAAATTAGTGAATATATAACCTGAACAGCACAAGGAACAAACACAGCAATGAGCGTGCACCAGATCCAATTTTCTCTTTTTAGCTTGTTGATTTTACATTAGTTATGTCTCTGTCTTAGAAATACTGATCTAGTGTACCAATGCTGTCCAAGAGAATTTCCTGTAAAAAAATGATAAAAATGTTTTGTATCTGTATAGTCCAATACAGCAGCCACTAGCCATGTGTGCTGCTGAGCACTGGAAATGTGCCCAGGGTAACTGAGTATTTTTACATTTAAATTTTAAAAGCCACATGTGGCTAGCAGTTACCACACTGGACAACACAGTTATACACAGTTAGGGCAGACCTAGGCCACTTAAATCTTTGTGTCTTTATAGGCACAACAGCCTGGCAATCTGAGGCCCATTTAAAATATAAACCACTTTACGACTTCTTTCTTAAAAGTATTAAATAATTAAATAGAACAGCCTCCACAAGGCCAGACAGAAAAAAAAAGTAACCTACAAGAAATTCTCTAAGGATGATGCTACTCTTTAGGATGAGCAGGAAGTGGGTGTGGGGAACATTAATGTCACAGGAGCTTGGGTCCTAGATGACGGTTCCATCTCTAGCTCTGCCGTCAGCTACCTGAGTGGCATTAGACAGTTTCCGAGTTCCTTGGGCTCTGATTTTCTTATACAATGTTGGAATCTGTTAAACAACTTCCAAGGTCCCTCCTTGCTTTCAGTCTAGTCAGTCCAGCTCTTATTTCTTGGGAGACTTAAATATTGGTTGATTTGAAATAATACCTTACACTGCATTACAAATAGGCGGAGGTTGAGTGACTTTGACAGGCCAACATGTTGAAGCAAGGCAATGTTACAGTTAGACCATACTATACAGACTATATTCAAAGACTGGCCCCACAAAGGTGTACGATGAATTATCAATGAGGAGAAAAGCAGGTTATCTACACAAGCAGCTAGTAGCTGGCCCTCCCGGAATGCACAGATGAAAGATCTGTGGCCACTTGATGACACACTCATCCCAGTTCTTCAGCTTCACATCCCAGAGGACAGCCACCTAGGTCCCTCTGCAGAGCATGCTACCTGGCCCTACCTAACTGCCGTTTCCTCTAGCCATGGAGACTTTAAATAAACCTCTGCGTTTGTTAGTAGCTTGGAGACACATCAGTATGTTCTGTCACACCAACCAGGCTGTGCCAGAGACACAGGTACCCATCTTGATCCCTAACCTGAATCCATGTGAGAGACAGAATACCAGCTTCCTTTCCCATGGGCCAAAGGGAAGGAGAAACCGGAGGGTGCCTAGAGGATTTGCAAACTATCAACACTAAAGAAAACCATATGTGGGATTCATGAAAACATCTCTAGATAGAAATCTGACCAAAACATATGAGAGAAAAGAAAGAGACAAAAGTGGGGGGGGGGGGGGAGAGAGAGAGAATGAGGGAGGGAAGAAGGAGAAAAGGTGGGTAGATGGAGGAGGGAGCGGAGGGAGGGAAGAAGTGGGAGAGGAAAGGGGGAAGGATGAAAGAAAAAAAGGGGGGGGAAAGCCATTTTGTTTTGAAAATTAAATGACATATTTCAGAAGCCATTAAATGAGAATACATACATTCATAAAAGATAAATGATTGGTGGGTGATAGGGGATGCTATTAATCATATGTCTGTCTATCACTAGGTTCATGTCTTTTTCTCTGTAGCTGCCTTGACAGGAATCTTGATCTTCTGGCAGAAAACCCTTCCAAAACCTTCCAACATGACACCGCTCATGTATAGGTGTTCCAGACCGAATGTCCAGTTATTTCCACCATTGTGCAAAAACGGGAGACCCTGCCGAGCAGCAGATGGCCCTCAGCGAGGCTGACACTCAGGCCAGGCCCCAGGTGGCAGCTCTCAGAACACGCTGTCCAGTTAAACCCCGCACAGACTAGCCACAGAAAATACCTGGTGTTCACATCCCCCAAAGGTTGGCCAAATGACAAGGGTCAAGCAGTACACTTCATGGGTTAGTAGGGAGAACCAGCATTTCAGCAGAAATACGCAAATCACTGGGTCCCCCCTGTCAAACATTGCAAATATGTAGCATGCTAAGAAAAAAATCTCCTTACCTCTCAGATTCTGTATCACTTGGTTCATCTGAGTTGCAACAATGGACAATAAAATCTAATAAGTTAAAATAAGGTGTGGAATGCTCAGGAGAAAAACAAAGGCTAGTGTTCCTCATCTGAGTGAATAATTTCTCTCAGTTTATTTTAGCTTTGCAAGTTATTTGTGATTATATTTTAAATTGGAATTTGTGCATGTGTGATTTAAAATAAAAAAGGCAATCAAGTCTTTCTGCCAATCTAGGTGATGTGAAATTTAATTATGGAGCAGTTATTTATTAAAACAAAGGCAAAGTAATTTTTTTACACATAATTGAATATTCCAGAAGAAAATTTCTGAAAAATCCAAAGGTCCAAAAGAAAACTTCTCAGTGAGAATGTCTGTTTCAATAAGATACCCTATTTTGTAGTATTGGACCCACAGAATTTCTAGTTAGACATAAGTAAGTCTTGCCAGAATTTCTGTAGTTCAGTTTTGCTGTCTGCATCTAGAAATATGGAAGACAGCTATGTTACTGGTTACGACTCCACAGTAATGAGTAATGAAAATTCCTACTTATCATTTCTACATCAACACCAGTGTGACTCAAAAAAAAAACATGATTTACCTGGCAAACACTCCTGTTACACAGAATCCAAAGAAATAAACACCTCAATCCATTCAGGAATGTTCCTTTCCCAATTAAGGTTTTGATGACTGCACCTAATGCTGACTTTTTATCTTTTTCTGTTTGCATTTTAATTAAGTCTGTGTCAACTTTATTTTTATAATACAGTATGTTTGTTTCCATATCTTAACTTCTTATCATGGGGGTTCCTTTAATATTTAATGTTTTACCTTTTTCAGTTACTGGGAACATCTTGAAGCTTCTTTATTGATTTGCTTGGGTTGATTTTTTTCTGGACTGTGAAATTAGCCATTTGGCAGTCATATTGCTAATATGCAAAAAGTTCTTATTTCAATTATAAGAGCAAATATAACCCATGATTATTAAGAAAACTGTTTTGCAAATTGGCCCTTGTTTATTTCAGAATATAACCAAGTACCACAGGCTGAATTAAATGCTTAAGAGCTTTTTTTTTTTTATTTTGCGATTTAAAATAAAGGTAATCAAAGCTTCCTGCCAATCTAGGTGATTGTGAAATTTAATTACTAGTAGTTATTAAAACAAAGGTAAAGCAATTTCTTTTACACATAATTGAATATTCCAGAAGAAAATTTGTGAAGCGTTCTCAGAAAATGTATTTTTAAATTAATTGTAACCTGATTATTTCATTTATGTCTCAGTTGGTACCATAGAATAAACGGCACACCTGGGTGATGTAGTTCAACAGCAGCTAGTGAGAGCAAATTCTCAGGAAAATCTGGTAACTTTGACCTTAATGCTGAGCAAATTATTAGATCTTTACTCTGCAAACACAACCATACCCAAATCTTCCACAGCTGTTCCTTTACGAGAAGTATAACCCGTGTTGACTTCACCTCTCTCTATGCTGGATGCTACAGAATCAACTGTTCCTTCTTCACTGCTCAATTGCCCACATGTCCTAAGGCTTCCAGAGCTGTTCCATCAAACCCATTGCTACCTGAACAGAAAGAAAACTTCCTACATCAGCAACAGCAATGAGTGAGCTGGCAGCTCTGTGCATGATACTGCTTATGGGCCTGTAAGCCTAACTTTCCAGAAAGGAAAAGATCAAGGGCTCCAAGAAAGAAAGTCAAAATAAGGCCATGAACTTACCCATCTCCAGGCCTTTTCCTAAGCTCTTCTCTTTCCTGAAATGTCTTTCCCTTCATCTGCTTTCCAGAAAAATTCTACTCATCCTTCAAGGCCTAACTCCTATGACATTTCCACTGACCCCTCTAATGTGAGTGAGGCAATCACTCTCCTCTGCACTCTCCTCCATAGAATTCGTTTTATCAAACTGGAGTAGAGGTTGCTGTTTGTGTGTGTGTCTCTGCTGCTGAATGATAAAGGAAAAGGATCTTGACTCATCTTTCCATGCCAAGCATTCAGGAATATGCCTGAAACCTGGAAAACACTCGCATGCTTATTTAACAGAGCCCAAAATTCAAGATCAAATTTAGCGTGATGAAAGAAGTGGATTGTATATTTGTTGGATTCATGTCTGCACCTAAACTCTGAACCCATGAATGCCTTTTCATTCCTCAAAGGAGTAAAATTTATTCCCATTAAGCATTTATTAAATGCTAGGCCCTGTGCTAAATACTCTACACATATTATCTCATTTAATACCCAAGACACTCTATGAAGTAGGTCTTATTATCAGTATCAGGCTCATTTACAAATGAGCAAATTGAGGCTTGGAGAAGTTAAGCAACTCACTCAAAGATACCCAGCTGGTCGGTGATGAAGCCAGAATTAAAAGACAATACTCCCAGAACTTCAGAGCTAGAGGGAACCCTACAATTATCTTCTTCCCTTAGCCTTCTTAAAGCTGAGGTTTATAACTTACTGCCTGGCACACAGTAGGCCCTTGTAAGTAGTGATTAGTAGATTGATGGAGCGCCCTAATTTCTCAGATTCAGGCCTTCGCCTGAGAGAGCCCAGCTGTCACCACAAATAGGCTCTATTCTTTCTGCCCAGCACCTCTCACAGGTGTGAATTGCTTGTGTCATCTGAATTATTCATGATCCACACAATGGTAAGTGTGCTTAAAAAGAGAACTACAAAGCTGTATTTTTCAAGACAAAGTGCCTGATTAATTGGGGTATTAGGCAGTATAAACTCACCGGCTAGGTTGATTCATGCCAAACAATACGGCCGTGCTCACTTTTTGAATTTCAGTTTTCACATAAGTTCCCAGTTTCCCTTAGGATTAAACATCGGGGTAAATAAGCAGGAAAAAGAACCATCGTGGGCATCTGTATCCTATCCGAAAAGCAATTACCGTCATCTAAATCGCATACTGGGTTGCTTCAGACCAAAGTATTCTTCCGAAGGCTGAGTTAAGATTTTCAATCAGGTTTCTTAAGCTACATCAAGATCTGAAAATTCAGATGCCACAGCAGCTGTAATTCATGCCACCAGTAAATCATGTGACACCATCAGCTCCTTGTCCTTTCTCCTTTCCTCTTTCCCTTTGCCCTACCAGTTCATTTTGCAGTGGGCAGTTTTCTGAGAGGGATAACCATATGCTAATAGAAAGCCAACACCGCTGTATTTTAAATTCAGTGTAAGTCAACCAAAATGAATTGAAAAACAGCAGCGTGGTTTGAGGGTACTAAAAATATGCTGTAGCATTTGCTGAGTTCTCAGAATTAAAACCACCGGCGGTCAACTTGTTGCTGCTCTTCAAAAGCTATGACTTCTGCCCCACTGGCTGCTACTACCAGAAGCTTGAACTATATCACACACCTAACAACACCGTGTTTTTTATCAGTTGGCAGTGATCAAGAAAGGAAGTGTTATTTCCCTGGAACTGAACCTGCCAAGAAAGGTAACAGATGGTTTTCAAGAGATCACCTTGTGCCACGTCACAGTTGCATGCATCTTAGTCAAATTCACTTTGCATTTATGATTTAATGAGTTACATATCTAAAGCTGTGGTTGCCTTTATGCCCAGTTTGCTATCCAATGCCTCCAAAAAGGTGTTTCTTCCTTTAATTTTTTAATAATAGTAAAACCAGCCCAATGGGACTTAATGTAATGTTAATATATCGAGCACTTCCATTAGGACTTCATGACCTTCTTGACCCTTAAATATCGTATACTACACTAAATGTCTTAGCAGCCACCCCTTTGGGTTTGTCATTAAAGTTTTCAATGACCAGAGAGGTAGAGGAATTCTACCTAATGCATCATTCTGATTAGAAACCTGTCATACTCAGAAACCAGTGGGTCTGCTTCTATTGACTCCTACTCCCTCGGATTCAATAGCATTTTTTTTCCCCTCTTCAATTAGACCCAATGAGCAACCATAGAAAAGCTGAAAGAAGCCTTCCCTTTTTGCTCAACCATACTTAAAAGGAAAAAAAAATGTATGCCTTGCTAGTGAAATTACACACAGTAGTATCAGATAATGTCTAAGGATTCAGTCTCTCTCTCTCTCTCTCACACACACACACACCCCACTTGTAAATATGCCAAGAGTCAGAGGCTGGGCTCGACCTCCCTTCCCCTAACCCACTTCAATCAGGATCAGAAAGACACTTCCCTTCATTGCTGCTGTCTCAAACCCATGCCCAAACGAGTTTGTCTCCAAGGAGGTAATTTCTGAAACAAACAAAGAAAATCAAGTCTGCTAGGAGCGAGGGGTTTGCTCCCCTCTGCTCTGGATTTCGGTGCCCAGGGTCGCGGGCGCAGCACGGCAAACAGGTCGGGGCGCTCAGCTTCGCCCCAACCTTCCCCGCCCCGCCAGTCCCAGCTCCCGCTGCGCCAGAAAGTGCGAGCCTGCCCGCTCCTTTCGCTTTTCGCCCGCTGCGCCCCAAGCCCCAGAACACCCGCGTCCGCACAGAGGGCTCTGCCGCTCTCCCACCTCTGCGCTGTCAGATGTCAGGCGCGGGGTGCTCTGGGCACCGAGGTGCTGGCGAACTAAACAAGTGTCACCCGAACGCCTGCCCCGACTCCGAGAGAGCGGGCGGGAAGGCCACAGGTAGGCTCTGTCCATCCCAGGGTGCGGGGAGAGGGCGAGGGGGCGAGACCCGGCGCGGCAGCCGCGCCCGACGGGCTGAAACTCACCGGAGGACACCGAGGAGCCGGACAGGCTGGAGTTGCTGGACGCTGCCATCTCCGCGCGCCCCTCGCGTCGCTGCTTGCTCAGCCCCGGTGCGGGCACCGCCGCCGCTGCCCTTGCCCGGCCGCTCGCAGCCTCCGCGGCCCCCAGCCCATGGCAAAGTCCTGGGGACGCTCAGAAAGCACCAGCCTCCGGACTCTGCCTGCACTTCCTGCTCCACCAGATGACGCGCTGCCGCCGCCGCTATTTATTTGTGGTTTCCGTCCCGCTCCGCGCCTTTGCACGCTTTTCTCCGGGTGTCGGGGGTAGGTGGGAGCAGAGGGAGGCCGAGGGGCGGCCGGGACGGGCGGATCTCGGCTCCCGCCGAGCCCCTCTGCCGTCAGCGCTCCCCCGTGCGCGGCTGGGACCAGGGCGTCCCGGCGGCCCCGAGCGCCCCGCCAGCTCCCGCACCCTTTCCTGGGCTCCCGCCTCTCCCGCTGCACTTCGAGTAGCCCAGGCAGAGGCGGCGGGAGACAGACCGACAGAGCGACCTCCCCCTTCTCCCTCCGCCCCAACTCCGCTCGCGCTCACACAAAGGAAGGAGCGGAGACGCGGGAGCTCTGGGGCTGGTTCGGCTGCCGCGGGCTTGACAGCTCCCGCCACTGAGGCTGGAGGGGGAGGCTGCGGACTGCAGGACAGCGGGAGGCGGGACGGGGGAGCGGGTCTCTGGGGTGCTGGGGAGGCCAGCGGGGGGCGCGGGGCGAGCGCGGCTGCTTGCGCAGGGCTGCTCCCAGGGTTTGAAGGGGATGGAGAGGGAGGGTGTGGGGGAAGGTAGTGGGGCTCGCCGCGCCCCGCTGGGCTCTCGAGGGGCGAGACAGTGGGGGTGGGGGATCCAGAGGACGAAGGCGGGATCACTAGGGCCACGGTGCTAGGCAGAAGGGACCCTGGGATGCCAGAGCCACTGGGGAACGCTCTTTCCACTCCCCTCAAAATTGTCCTTTGTTGCTCTGGAACTGACATCCCCTGCCCTGCAAGAAGGTGCCTTTCCTAAAACACCGGGGAAGCCAACTCAGCTACACTTAAGTACCCTAGCCACGACAGTGCCGGACGCGTCCGTGGGCCTCTGGGGTTGGCCTTCAAAGAAATAGAGCCGTCCTAACGTGTCATCAGGCGCACACAAAGCCGGGTGTCAAAGAGAAAGAGGTTCTCTGAGACTGTGCCTTGCAAAAGATCCTCACAAAAGACTTAAGACTTGGCAGCAGGTCCGACTGTTCCCTTTTAGGATAGGAGCTGCTCAGGTGTGTGAGAGAAAGAGATTTGATCACGAGGTGCGTCCCTTCCCCCGTATTTAAACCTAAATTAATTTCACTGGGACGAAACATCATGCAGATTTTTTAAAGTCTGTTTCACGTTCCCCGCGGGCTA